TGTTCCTTCTGCGGGCTGTCGGGGGGCGAGGGGGACCTCTTTTCTTGCCTTCTTCACTTTCAGAGGCCACTGACATTTCTTGGCCCATGGCCCCTTCCTTCGTCCTCAAAGCACGCCACTCCAGCCTCTGCTTTTGTGATCCCATCTCCTTCTTCTGACTTTGACCCTTGTTTTTTTTTTAACTGATAAAGAAACTGAGGAACAAAAAGAGGATTAGAAAACTTGCTCAAAATTGGAGAGTGACCCAGTAGTAAAACAGAGTAAGAACCTGCATATTCTGCTTCTCGCTCTGTTTTATGCAGTGTTACCATCTAAATAATAAGAATTATGTGATGAATGACATTTAATTTCAACTCATAAGAAAATGTGCACTATGCATTACTGTTTACTTTAAGATTGTCTTTTTTCGAGAATTTGTCTGACAGAATGCAGTCATCTCTTTTGTTACTGGTAACTAGTCTTCCCCTCGTGCCCCAGACATACATTTTTAAGAACTATTCCCTGTAAGGAGTTTGTTCTTTTAATTTGACTCTTAGACATGTTTTACAGTCATGCCTCATTTACCTGCCAGACCTTTTCAGTACAGAATGTAGTAGAGAATTAGGGAGTTGATGAAAAAGGCCTGGCCAAAATTATGCTGTGTCCAAGAATTAGATACTGTGCCCTTTACTCCTGTGAGAATGCCCTGCCTGTTCCCACCAAGACTTCTAAGTCTCGGTTTTTTCCAAGCCTGTTAGCTGTTTTTCTAAACTTTGCAGATAAGAAAGGGCAAATCAGAAAGCCATACTGGGGAAGTCTTCTACAGAGACATAAACTGATACTAGCATTTCATAGGTGATTGCCTCGTAGTGAGGGAAAAGACACAATATTAAAAATCAAGAATTTAATTCTTGATTAAAGAATTAATGAATCATGAACACGCTACTGAAGTTTTAGCATAGAGACCTTGCACACCTCAGTAGACCCTAAAGTTACCACGATAGGATGTACCAGTATGAACATAATAATCCTAATGAGATCTTGGGTCAATATGAGGTGAAAAGGAAGAAAATAGATATTTTAGAAAGAACTCTATCCAACGTGATTATATGAATAAGAAACACAATTTTCTGAGTGCTGTGTGCCATAAGTGTATGCTATACACATTGCCAATTGTTTGCTCATAAATTTTAATCCTCACAATACATAGGTATTATCCTCATTTACAGAGGAGAAGGGTAGAGAGGTTAAATAACTTGCCTTAGGTCACATAGCTATTACATAGCAAAGGCAAGATTTTGCGTGTCATATTCCAAAAT